TGAATTATTTAATTGGGAATAATTATCGTGATAATCGATATATATATATATATATATATGAACATATTTCTTGCATTTTCTTAATAAAAAATGTGTAAATGAAACTATTGAGCTCGAAATACAAATTCTCTTATTTCAAGTCAATCTTAATTTTATTTTAATACATCAATTTTCTTAATTAATAAGGAGATTATCAGACATACAATTGATGGCAATCGTCCTTTTTCTTTTTATAAATGTACGTTTTCATCATAATCACTTATTTTACTCAAATAGAAAACTGTTTTCATCGATGTCATACTGTCGAAAAGTTTAAATATAATTTAAAAGTGATCAATCATGTTGAAAGAAAGACTGCTCTTTATTTGAAATCATCTAAGTCAGTGAGCCTTATTCCCCTTTTGCTTGTGTCGCAGCATGATTTGGTATCTTCTTTCATCTGGCGGTATTTTTTCTTTGGTCTGTGGCCAACACCCCGGCAATTTGTGACCAGAAACCGAAATGGGAATAAAGCTCATTCAAACGTTGCCTTCATAAGTCATAAATAATTTTTTCTTTCTTGCTCTACGAGAAACCCTGTAGCAGAGATAATATGAACATCAAATTTCTTTCATCATTTTTTTCTACAAAAAAATACTAATTATGTTAAGGGTGTGACAGTGACACATCATCACCTACTAGAGAGAAAAAAAAGTAGGAGAAGCCTCAACAGTAGCCGAGTAACAGCATAGTATAATCTTCTTAAAAGACTAAAAGTCATCATATATAAAAGAACTAACAGTAGACTCCTTTTCTCGTTTTACCAAAAAATGATGATGTTCAACTGTCGATATAACAAAAAGTTATGCCGATTCTTTATTTTTATATTGCTTTCAAGTATTTATCTTTTAAAAAACTTGTTGTTTAATTTAAAAATTGACTCATCATTTAATCAAACTCATATAATAATGCCGTTCGAACAATCTCTAGTATTGCCTGTATACGGTAGGATTAAATATCTAGGTAAAGCATCTTCTATTTATATTATTAATTTGCCATCACGTCCTGATCGACGAACACAATCTATTGCTCTCATGCAAACATTGAATGTACAAGCGTCTATCGTTCCGGCTTATTCAATTAATTCGCCTGACGTTCTGATTTTGAATCGAAATCGAAATAGTTTCTTTTTAAAGCTAACTGAACTAGCTTGTTGGGCAAGCCATATGCGCGTATGGGTTACTATTGTTAATAAAACATTTTATGAAAATTTTAATACATGGTCAATTGTATTTGAAGATGATATCGATCTTGAAATTGATCTACCATACATAATTCAAACGATTCCATATTCGATATGGAACAGTGCTGATTTAATCTATCTTGGCCATTGTGCTAATCCACCTGGAAAACTTATCTATGAAACATCGAAGCATATGCATCGGATTCATCAAGCACTTCATCCAAGTTGTACGCATGCATATATAATTCGATCAGGAACAGCGAAAAAACTCGTTAATCTATTATCGAAACCTTCGCTACCCATTGATGATTCAATAATAAAGCTTGTTAATGATTGTCAACTAGTTGTCTATAGTATTCATCCTCCATTAGCAATACAAAAATCGGTTTCTAAGACTAATCCATCGGATGTTAATAAAATAAATCGGCAATCATGGATGTATCGTATTCAATTGGCAATTTATACGTTTTTACAATGGTGGAATGGTGTAAAAATTCATAATGAATTACAGAAATCAGCGTTGACAAGGGCTAATTTAACTAAAGCTAAATCTTGGAGACTGAAGTATGAGAAAGAAATTTGGAAAAATTATTTATGAAACTATTTCTTGATAAGAAAAAAAGGTCGATTTTTCTGTGAAGTGTGGGTTGATGCGCATATTAGTCAATAGACAATTGTCGTGTACTATGATATGAAAATTGTAAGTTCAATTGTAGTAGTAATTCAATCATCTTTCAAATATTTATGTCATGTTATATAGGAACCAGAGAAATTTTCTACTTACGCGATTTATTTTTCTATTCCAGTAGAAAATAATAAAGACATCCTACAAATATAAGAACTAATTAAAAGTTAAGAAAATTCGACACAAAATCATTCGATTTATGAATAAACACATGCGGTAAGACAATGTAAAATTAGTTCCATGCTCTTTGGATTTACAGTTTTAAGATAATCATTCTGAACGGACACATATATGTGTATATTCGGTGGTTGAATTTTGTGTCACACGAAAAAATCTTGAAATGCCCGTAGGCAGTTTCTATTTTATTGGCGATAATTGAAGAAGGTGTGGACCCATTCTACTCTACACCAACGGAATTCACGCCTGCATTTGCGTGTGACTATTTAAAAATACTGACCTGTAGGAAGTTATCGTCTTTTTTTTCTTTTTACAAAATGTATATACATGGTTCATTCTTTTCGCCGCTTTTTGTTTTATAGGTTAGCACGTGAAATTTTCTTAAATTATGTTTCAAACATTTTTCATCCTGAACTGAATTAATCTTTAATTTTTGTTAGAAGAATAAATGAAAAATAATATGGCAAGAATCATTTTCGGGTATTTCAGATAGATTTCCCGTTGTTGGTACGCATTGAGATCATTCAAGATGTTTCGTGAAGTAATACATGACTAAAAATGATGAGTAACGCATTAAAGAATTTTACTTGGTAATTACGTCATAAATCGAAATGATAACTCGATTGGATATGCTTCAAATATTGACAAATCGTCATGCCGTATAAATTGGAAGTTATTTTTGTGAAAAACTCCTCTCTTACTTTCTTCGCAAGACTGCCAATGCAGCAAAGTCGTACGGGTTTGTTTTGAGAGTACAGCTGATTATTGTATAATTATCTTACTATCAACAAATGATGCAAACTGATATCATTATTTTTTAAGATTCGTCATGCAGCTTTCTTGTATTTTCATCAGAAAGCGTCTTCTGAATCATTATGATTCGTTTTTGCCCAATGACAAAAGCTAGCGATCTTTTTATTTATTGAACTTGAACTAATTCGAGTGCTCTGTATGCAATCTTGCGTATTAAAAATATTTTGCGGTTCAACATTAAAAAATTAAGATGATAGTTTTCATTTTAGATTCTTTCTCAAAGAAAACATTTGACTATCATGTCATACTTTACTCTTACATTAAAACACTACTACAATAACCTAATGGGATTTTCGTTGCCCTAACTAATTTCTCCGAGTACTTCTAATGACTCATAGCAAGATAGGACACTTTTTGTGTTGAGATAATTGGAAAATCCTACAGTATACAATCATTTTCAGTCATTGAGTATTATAACTGACAGAGTATGGATGGTAAACACAGTGAGATCATTCAATATCAAGCGAGTCATTATCGACATCTACACTTAAAATACAAAGATGATTTAAATATTTAAACTTGAAATTGATTCATTTTGATTCCACGGAAATAATAAAAAAAAGCACAACTGTCTTAAAAAAAAGACTCGCAGCGTCATCTATATCGTCATTTGCCATAATTTCCTCCATTAGTTAAATAGTCCAATTGAATTTTCTTGCTTGCTGCCATTTTGTTTATTTCTGTTTTATCTTTGTTCCTAGTCGACTGTCAGTCAGTCAGTCATTTTACCCGTTCTTCTACTCAATCTTGAAATAAGATATTCACTTTTTCTCTTACTACAACTTCGAATGTCGAATGTCTAGTTCCGGCGGCAGTAACCCAAAAAAACCACGCATCGATTCAAATAGTTTACTTTCAGGTTTGTATTGTCTTTTTTTTTCGCTTCGAAAAATTTCATAAAATATTTTTTCTTATTCATTCAGCTATACCTTCGCGAATGCCGTTATCAAATGGCCCTAGCTCATCGGGTGCTCGTCCACTTGTTGCATTACTCGATGGACGTGATTGTACAATTGAAATGCCTATATTGAAAGATATTGCAACGGTAGCGTTTTGTGATGCACAATCAACATCGGAAATCCATGAAAAAGTTTTAAATGAAGCTTCGGCTGCATTAGTTTGGCATGCGATTACATTGAAAAAAGAAGATTTAGCAAAATTCAAAGCTCTGAAATTAATTGTACGCATCGGCGCTGCCTATGATAATATTGATATTAAAGCAGCTGGTGACCAAGGTATTGCCGTATCCAATATTCCATCACTATACGTTGAAGAAATGGCTGATACAACATTAAGTATGATATTAAATTTATATCGTCGTACAGCATGGTTAGCGCAAACAGTTAAAGAAGGTAAACGTGTGTCAACACCGGAACAAATTCGAGAAGTTGCAGCTGGGTGTGCAAGAATTCGAAATGAAACATTAGGTATTGTTGGTCTTGGTCAAGTCGGTATGGCTGTCTCTATGCGCGCAAAAGTATTTGGTTTTAATGTTATATTTTTTGATCCTTATCTCTCGGATGGAATTGAGAAAGTTTTAGGTAGGTGTCTTTTTTTTTTAAGAAAATTTGTTCTGAAACTTAACTGATTTCTTTTCTTTTTTGTTGTTTGAATAGGAATTACTCGTGTATTTACATTACAAGATTTACTCTATCGTTCAGATTGTGTCACACTTCATTGTTCACTTAATGAACATAATCACCATTTAATTAATGATTTTACAATAAAACAAATGAGACCAGGAGCATTTCTTGTGAATGTATCACGCGGTGGTCTTGTTGATGAAACAGCGCTCGCTGCAGCATTAAAAGATGGTCGAATTCGTGGTGCAGCATTGGATGTTCTTGAAAATGAACCATATAATATAGCTGCTGGTGAGTATTTCTATATCAGTCTATTGTGAGTCTTTAGATACAAGAATACTGTATGCAGACTAGTATGGTGAATAAAATTAAACGATCATCTTTCTCAATTATATTTTAAATGATAGACGAATTTGAAGAAGATTTTCTTTGATTGGAAAAAATGCACTGAATATAAAGGCTATTATTGCCTAGTTTTAATGAACGCGAGTAATCATGTTTTTCATCCTACCGGAAACATGATATGTCTATTTTCAATAGAGTGTAAGAAGTAAGCAAAAAAAAAATGTCTGTTACTATTGTTGAAAAGTCTTTCAAACGTAGAATAAATTCATTCAGGGCAATTTTTTCGAAATATGTTAAACATACTACTATTGATAGCAGGTAGAAATCAGCAACAACTCATTTGATTGTTCAACAAGTGCTTCTTTTATCCGCGACATGGTTTCTTCGAGTCACTGCTCCGCTGTGGAACAGCGCCCTCTTTTTACCTTTTAAATACCTTAACAACGAGCTCATGTCAAACAGAATTGTCAACATTATTTATGTATATATATATTTGTTTTACTTTTAGGACCATTAAAAGATGCAAATAATCTACTATGTACACCGCGAACATCATGGTATAGTGAAGCTAGTTCACAAGAAATTCGCGAAAATGCAGCACATGAAGTACGTCGTGGGTTGACAGGAAAACTACCTGGTGCACTTCGATATTGTGTTAATAGAGATTATCTTAGTGTCGCACGTAGGTTATTTTGAAAAGAATTCATCTTATATTTCGAAAAATTTCTATTTTATAGGTTCTGCCTATGATGGTGTCCTTAATGGAGTCTCGCCATTTTCATCATTATTTCCATTAGGTGCTCCATTTCTTTCTCAAGCAGCAGCTAATCCACTCTTAAGTGATGCATCTATTCAACAAACATTAGCTGCAGCAGCAAATAGCAGCACGCCATCATTACTTTCATCGGCTGGTAATAGCTCATCTGTAGTTATGCCACTAGCTCTTGGAGAATCAGCCCTTCAATCTGCAGTTAAAGCAGCAGCTGTTGCTGCACACGGAAGTAACAATGGCGGAGATTCAAATGGCGGAGATTGAAATCTATAAAAATGTCTCATGTCTGTTTTCGTTTTCCTCATGTGTTGTACATTTATGTCATTGTAGTTTGCTTCTGTATGTTTGTCTGTAGTTTTTGTTTCCATTTCACACGGATCCTTTATGTATGCTTTGTGTGGGATATACATATATATATTTGTCATATGTTTCTTTATACAATTATCTGTTTCGGCTTCTAAAGTAATTTGTTATCGTTGACTTGAATCAATAGCTCCTTTCTTTTCTTTCTTTTCTTTTTCGTATACACACAAATAAAGCATGTGTTTATGAACACTTAAAAATGAAAAGAAAAATTTTCTTTTTTACTTCTACTATAGAAGACATTTGTTTGAAACATTAAGAAATATTCTATGTTAGTATTTTGTAGAATAGAATTTTATTAAATGTGATATTGGATAATAAATTTCTTTGTGCATGTAATTACGTATATGGAACATTTTACGATCAAGGTAGATAATCATTGTATATTTACGCAAAAGAAAAAGTATCTATTTTTTTATTCGCAGGTAGCATGTGAATTATTAAATGAATACAGAATCTTCATTATCGAATACGATTATTTGTTGGATTTGGGCTATTGAATGTGATTATCAGAGTAGCTGTGGTTGATAGTCTGAATGAGACATATAAGAAACCTGAATGTTCTGAAGAAAATCTTGCCGTTAATTCATTCATCGTGTAAATGTTATTGATTTTATGAATACTATGAAAGAAGTTCGCATTTATTGCTGTCGATCTATTGGATTTATAAGATATTTTTCAATCTAATACTTTCGTTCGCTGGTGAAAATCGGATAGCTTTCTATGATAAAGTCATTTGAGCTGTTTTTATCGGGAAACGCCAACAGGAGATCTACAGAGATTATTTCGTACTGCCATAAACATGCACAAGTAATAAGCTATGAACGTAAACTTCTTTCGAAGTATTCATAACTCAATAAAAATGTTACACGAGACGTATAATTCTAGTTTCAAAGTTTTCAATAGCTAAAACATTGAACACTTTTCAGACACAGTTCAGGTTTAATGTATGCCTAATTTAAATGATACATAGACGCGTATATGATTGCTAAATTCTTGTGTTACAGTATTATCAATTACTAAATAGTTTTACTTGTCTCTTAATAGAAGAGTTAAAGAGTGAATATTTTTATTTTGTTCATCGACTAATAAACATTCTAAATGCACAATAAAATACCGATACGAAATGAACTGTTTAGATTAACATTTATGAACAGAACGATGGTAATCGGTGATCAACCAGCAGGCCGACGTCATGTAAAGCCATTGGCATCAAAAGGTGAAAAACCAGCTGGCTATTGGGTAAGCAAACTATGACGTGTGCTTAAGTTTGACAAAGGGTCAAAAATAAAAATTTATTTCAATTATTATAGGCTAATCTGTATGTCATTGACATACAAATCATGAATTTCATATTAATGTATTGTTAAAAACGGCTTTTGTTGTACCTATGTTCTAAATAATCTATATTATATTAAAAGCTAAGCAGCTAATGATTGGGATTGCTTGATAGAGATATTATGCTTGGTAAATAACAGTGCATTGCTTAGAAATTTGAAATAATTTTAAGATGCATTGCGATTTTTCTGCTGATGAGCGTGGTAGTTATTTTTGAAAAATAAAATGCTCGTAAGGTTTGTTTTTAGCTTCGGGACGTTTGACAAGAAAGTTTGATGTTGTCCATTGACGAAAGTAATATCAAACGGTAATTAGCCGTTTATATTCTACAATCTCGCTAGTAGCATAGTGATGACACGGAAATATGATACCGAACAGCAACGACTCATTGTTGCTGAACTCTGTAGAAATTTGATTTTTTTTTGTGCAATTATTTTGTCGAGCCTATTTAGCATAGATTGTATATAGAAAATAATACATTCCGAAATAAGAAACACTGCCGGACACTTGCAATGATGACTAGTCTTTTTATTTCTTCTATGGAAATCAACTCTTTTAATTCCTGGATCATATTGTCACAGCTAATCTTCATTTCCTTTTCAACAATATAGAATCATTTGTTCTGTTTCCGACTCACTATTTAGACATTGCTATTATTAAAGTTTCATTCAAAAAGAAAAGAAAACGACAGTAGAATGCGTGCTGAATACGTAATAATTCTCGTAGCTTTTAGTATTAATGCCAGGCTAATTCTGAGCTTAAATCAAAATAACTGCATAGAATAGATCGAGCCTACAGTGCGGTTTATCAAGATAATTTCATTTGAAAACAAAATAATTTTTTACCGAAAACGTTAAGTTCGAAATACTATTCGAATATTTTCTCAGTCCGATATTTCATCGTTCGCACAGAACTAATTTCTATATCGTAATAGTTATGTATGTTTTTGAATAGCAGAAGTGGATACTGCAACAACTCAAATTCTAAGAATATTGACATTTAATTTCGACGTTATTTTTGATTGCTAAGAGACGTAGTCAAGCATCAATTAAAAGAAAATGTCACGAGAGAGATAATCATACTTTTCGGAGGGCGAACTCGAATGTTTTATGGCTACTATTAATAACACCTAACAATCTATTATAAAAAGTCTAAATTTACCATAAAAAACTATCCGATTTTGGAATCGATAAAAGAAATACACATAATCAGATTAAATGATATATCGATCTAGACAAATGAATTACCATTGAACAAGAAAATCTTCGTATATTTTCGCTAAACTACTAACGTCTATTTTCTTTTAATACAAGCAATCAAATTATTAAGATTAGTTCGTCGGCTTGCTTCTTCTTTCCACGTGCAATACTTTCGCTTTTACTACTTGCAACTGACATCTTCGACTATGATGAGAATACATTTTGTTGTCTCTAGTTCAAACAGCGCGGTTTTACAGATTCTTCATTCGATCGTCGACAAGCAACAACAACTGGTGTCATGCTTAATCAAATTGCTGCTTCAAAGGTAGCAGCAACTTCATCAGATGTTTCATCTGTTAATAATCGACGATTTCCGGTTAGTACAAATAAATATATTCACCTTAATCAATATGTTTTATTCTTATTTTCTATTCTTCTTAACAAGAATCCTTCTAATCGTGTATCCGAACATGATAATAGAAACTCAATACAGAACTATGGGGAATATTTCGGTCGAGTAAATAAATATTTATTTTAGTAAACAAAAAACATATCTAGCTAAGAAATTGTTTATTTAGGGTTATGGTAAACGTTTAGGATTGAATACATCGGTATACAATCATGATTGGATTTTTTTAAACGAGCCACGTCCTGCACAGCCTGATCGAGGTTTAACACAACAGGACTATCGTGGCTTGCCTCCACTTGAAAATGCACAATCGATAGCAGCAGCGGCATTCATGACAAGAAGTCAGAGAAAACCCAATGATCATTGGATGACAAGTTGCTATGATGATTTCGGACGAAATGTTGAATGCATACCAAGTGAATTGATTTATCGTGATGATTACAAACGAATGCCTGTTCATCCTTGGCATTATTAAATGTAATAAGAGACATTTTTAGTTTGTATTTTTTAACTTTTACATAAACATTGACACATGAAAAATAATTTTCTATGGCACAATAGATATTCAATAAAGAAAACAAGGTCTTATTTAAATGTTATTTTTAATTGACATAACTATATAACTAACGAGATTGTCAATCCAACTGTTTTTGACCTTATCTTGTGGCTACAAATAGATCTTAGTGATACTAACAGAGATATAATCAAATGTGTATTAAGAAAAAAGATTCGATGATTGAATTGGCAAGCTCTCAAAATTCCCTATTCGATACTACCTGGTCTCAAACAGACATGTTCATGTCGGCTAATTTACCAACATGCAACAAATGCATTTCATGATAGGTTTAATCTAACTGGCAATAATAAAAACAGAAGACGTGCTGAGCCTTAGTTCATCGTATCACGATGATCCAAAAGCTAAATCCATTGAAAACAATATTGTACTTCCGATACAATACGGAAAATTATTCAGAACCAGTAGAGAAATCAATCTGTCGATTGTTCGTATTCAATCATTGAGATTTCGAGAAAAATGATAAAATGTAGTCTACTGGTTTGATGATATCTCGCAAGAAGAAAGGACCGTGATGAAAAATGCTTGTGTCGTACTGATGCTATCACTCAAATCTATTTATAACCAATAGCTCTCAAACAGTCGGTAGAGTTTCTTCTGCATGCGATAAGATTTACTAAAAAAATTGATAACGGCTTTTCTCCGTTTTATGTCTTTTTATTGGCTAGATTTCCGCATCAGCTCAATCTATTCTCGTTTGTTTATTTGTCTATGCTGGTCTTTGATTACTGAAGAGAGAAAAGGAATCAATGCATGTAATAGCAATGATGAAAATTCAACATTAGGAAAGAAGAAGAAGAAAAAACTGAGAGAGAAATCATAGTTCAGAGCACAATTAACAGACAAAGAGCTCTCTCTCTCTCTCTCTCTCTCTTCTTCTTGATGCGCTCATTGCCAATAGCATCAACATGTCGGGTTTTTTCTCTCCAGCTTTTATATGTTTTGCAATGGAAAGCATATTTGGGACAATAGGCTTTCTCTCCGACGCTTGTCTTGCTCTGTCAATTTAGCGTTCGCTTTCTCTAATATTTCGCCGAAAAAAGCAAATGCATGTGCATCGTAGACTTTAGTTTACATAGATAATGGGATGAAGTGCAATAAAATAATGCATTCTTAAGACTTCCGTTGTTGTTGTTATATGGCCGAATATTGAAAGATGCATAAAAACGACACACAAAACGCATGGGAACTCCAGTAACAATTCAAATCGCTGCTGCTAATTACGGCGAATAGTAAGTTATCCAAGTGAATATCTGTTTCACTGAAATTTTAAAAGATTAGCTTTTTTTTAATCATATTCAATCTCATCTGAATAAGAATGAGTAGGTAACAGTGCGGAAAGATACATATGGTTTTAGATAATAAAAATTTAGTTTTCAAAATATTTTCTTAGTAATACGTACACATTGCTTTTTTTTCATTTGTATTCTATTGAAACTCTTGAACGTAGTGTTGCCTGCTTTTCTTTTTGTTTGTTTCAAATAAAATTACAGGAATGGAAGATTGTTACTAATTATATATTTTAATGCGTGTATAACATAAATATATATGCAAACTAGTTATTAGATGGAAGAATTTAAAGAAATATTTTAAATTATTTACTTGAAAAATGTTCATGACAAAATATAATTGAATTAGTTTTTACACTTTAAAAATCACTCAATAGAAAATTAATATATATATATATATGTATAAATTAAAGTTGTATTCTTTTTGAAAAAAATCATTCAATCTATCTCCATACATTGTATAAACATAATTTCGGATGTCAAATATGAATAATTGTCATTTCTATAAGCACAGATAAAAATAAAATATGAATAATTGATACATATCAGGTATCAGTTAAGTTTTTTTTTCATTCAACAAAAGTTATCTTATAAAAATCATGAAATTATCGTAATAATAGCAAAAGAAGAAAAGAGTTAAAAAAATGCATTCTATTTCATTTCTTTTTTTTATTTTATATATAGTGATAGTCAATCGAGTTATCGCCGACCATTTAGTGAACGGCGTGAACATGAAAATGCATTGCTATTTAATTATGATGGCTCAACTAGTGGTCAACATACAAAATATGGCTCTACTGCATCACAGTAAGTGTTTCTATTGGTTCCATTAAAAGATGATTTCCATCGAATAAGTTCAATTATAACAATAAAAATCAAGTTAGTTTAAAGTTAACAAGCACTTGATTGAAAAGCATTAGAACAAATCTAATGAAAGAATTTTCTTGTCCCAAAGCCAATATATTTAAGCAAAAGGTTTATCCAATGATAGCATTAAATTAGTGTGGGTTTTTCTCTTTCTCTTTTTTTGTCGCCTTTTCCCGCTCCATTCTCGTTATTATTAGCCTTGGCTTTTGTAGAAGCTATGTTCCTATTATTCTTTTTTTTTGTTTTGTCAACATAGTTCATCGATGTGTTTTAGGCAGAAATGAATAAAAACGAGGAAGAAAGAAAGAACCAATGTTCTTTTCTAGTAAGCTAGCAATACTAGATTGTTAGTTAGATGTATAAATAATATGCCTAATTCTAATACCCCTAGCGTCGATTCATCGTCGCGCTCAATGAAATTTTCGACACGACATGCATGTGGTTCTTGTTCATTCCGACGGCGTGCTACAGTGATGATTATAGTAGCAGGCGGATTGTGTCGCTAAATACAAGATCGCACTAAACAAAAATGAAGAACAAAAAGAAAAAAAAAGAGAATATGTGCGCGCGCGCATGTTCATCATCGCACGTCAATGCTTTTGCCCTGTCTTTCTTCCTTCTTGACTATGCAGTGAAGGAAGACGAAGCCCATGCGGCCGGCAGCGAAGGAAAGTGGAGAGTATGTTAGACACTGTTGTCGTTTTGAGAAGCAAACAAGAGGTACAAGACAAAGCGCTACTCATTTATGTGCATGTTCGTTTCTGAGTGGCCTATTTGAGAAAATGATCAATAATCTTGACGAGTGATTGTCAACTATATAAACAAGCACTTGACATTCTTTAACACATACGAGAAAATCTTCCTTGAAGACAAAATCTTATCAAAATGACGATGGCAACAGTATGGCAACATGTTTCTTTGAGTGATCATCCAATGTAAGTACATACACATAATAGTCTTTTTTTTCAGCAGAAAAAAAATCTGTTTATTATCTGGCTGCGTCAATCAAAAATGGTTAAAGCTCTTATGCGTGTATCTATCGATTTAGTAATTTTCGTTATTTATCTATTAGACAGTCATCCGTTTATTAATCTACGCACGATGGGCTTCGAGTTTAATTAATTTTTGCTTGATTACAATGCACGATTATGTGCTTATTCGATTGGTATGGTTGCATTTCGGTATAGTGTTCCGTGTATTGAAAGGAAAGATATTAAAAAGAAAAATAGAAATTATATTAGACAAAATAGATTACAATCATTCGTGTCTTGTATAGATTTCCATATAGTCATAAATGAAATAGAGGTAGAAAATGGCAATTTCAGCTGCAGTTTCATCTTGGAACCCTTCATGGACTACTAGTCTAGTGTTTGGTGACACATCGTAAGTGTTCGTAATAAATGTCTCAGAAATAAATAGGATTGTGCTTGATTTAAAATTCTCTATGGAATATGTATATTGAGATTATATGTATCGGAGGATTAATTATTGGCATTGTATCAAAATGATGTGTGTTTGTGTGTGTTTTTCTTCAAGGACACATGCAATTTTGAACTGCTTGGAAGAAGTTTTGTAAATATTTATCTACATCCAAGTTTTACATTAGTTGCAAAAGAAAAATTATGGAAGACCAGATATATGTTTATATGTTGATATATATATATGTATAATATGTGGTTCTGTTGTTTTGCTTGCTATACTGAAGTTATGCAGACTTGCGACTTTTTTTTTCTTTTTATTATAATGATACGTCATGTAGCGACATAGATCGCTTCGGCGTATCGACAAAAATACGATGACAACAAAAGAAAAGCCTATGAGAAATACGATGAAGCGTATCCTGTGAAACTAAGACAACAGATGATGATCATTTTTAATGACAGAAAGAAATGTGAGGTCGATGATGATAGATAAAAATATTATGCTAGTATTTTAAGGCAGTTGTTGTTGTTGTTTTCCATGTTTAAACATTAGTGGACAACGTAGCCCACAAGGAAGCTCAAGATTAGTAGCATCTCGTATTACACATCATTTGCAAGTTCTAACATCCGTTTTTTTTCCTATTCTTTTTCTTCGGGTTTTTGCTTTCTGTTCTCGATTATGTTTGTTGTTGTTATTCTTATGTATGTGTCGGCCCATTAGAGGACGCAATCCTCATATTCTTTGCTACGTATACGCTTGTCTGTTCTTGGTTATGCTCGCTCTCGGTGACTTTTGATATTGTATTTCATTTTGAGCGCGAGTGTTTATTAAAATACATCGATCAATATTGTCGACACTAGAATAGCTAATATATAAATATCGAATGATTCTGACCGATCGTTCACTGTAAGTTGGCATATTTTTGTTTTGCATACGTTGTGAACAATTATCTCAATTTGTCATTTTACAACATAAAGTAGTCATGATACAGCACGTCGACGTGGCGTTGATTTTCCTACTGATCAATCATCAGCTCCTGCGCGGAATTCACTTCGACGTACGCCTCTTGCAAATCGCGGTTCTCTATATGATCCATTTGCTAATATAGATGGATCAGTATCGAATGAAATCGATCCAACTCGAACATCTACACTAAATTGCCTTGTACCCGCTAGTGTAGCTGTTGTTACCAGGTGAGATTATCTAGATTTGCTAGTAGGACATGAAGAGTGTATGTTCGGCACTTATCACTTGCTATTATATCACAGAGAAAAATAAAAGAAACGATAATGCTTCTTCTTGTCGTCATCAATTGACAGAATGTACTCGATTATTATCACAGTTTTGAAGTTAATGATGAATATCACCTCTTATTATTATTATTATTATTATCCTACTTGATCAATGAATCAATTTTAAGGAAAATACGGTGTCCTTTTCTTTTGGTCTTGATAACTATTTTCTGTGATTATTGAAAAGAAAAAGAAAATTCTTCTATCTTTATTGATAAATAGATAATACGATCAAGCTGTATTTTCTGAATTTTACACACGCATGTGCACGGGGAAATCTTCTTGACTGATTCGAAAAAAAAATCAATCCCAAAGGAATGCAGCATCTGATGTTAAAAAAAAAGGATGAATTTAAATTTTACAAAATATGATTTTTTTGCTCGAAATTTTATTATCAAAGATTTCGTTTTTGTTATTAAAATATCATTATATTGTATAAGTTTAGAAAAATAAATATATTCCTCTATTTGCAAAGAGATGACCTAGAGAACACATCGATGTCAAATTGAGATTTTACAAAAGTATTTACAAGTTTGCCTATCTCACTTACTTGACGTTTAGAAGAAAAAAAACCACACACTAGCCGTTATCTAAACGTTATAATAAAAAAATATGGTTTTTACGCTCGAAACTCCATATATATGTAATACGTATTTGTATCCATAACTGCAGACAAGTAAAATCTTACAATTATTCCCAGTAAAAAATCGGTTGATGTCTCCCTTCTCATTAACAATTGTATTTTCTCAAAGCTCTAAACTAACCTATTATATTTTATGTAGATTGTCGTAGAAATTCCAGTAATTTAATAGGGTTTCTTTTACTTAGCGTTGTTGTATCTTTTCCGACGGCAGTCAAATTAGAAAAAAAATAATAAAAACCTTTTTTCTCCTTTTTTCCCCTGACATTAAATACTAAAAGCTATTAGCAAATGGCGTACATCTGCGTGCTTGAGTCTAGATAATCATCATATAATGATGAAAAATTTCACCTATGGGTGTATTAAGAGAAAGGAAAAGCCGAGTGTATTTAGAATTTTTCTCTTTTAATAAATGTAAACTCGGCCGCATTGGTGAATTGCACAGCGTTAGATAGATCAATGAGATTTCTGTTGAAAAAAACTCAATACAATTAAGCAGTTGTAAAGAAATTCTTTTTAAACATGATTTATGGAATGTTAAACAAAGATCAAGATACTTCTTACAATGTGAAAATTGTGTACGTATTTAATAAATATCGATTCTTTTTTTTTTAAATATTTCAAATCGAATATTTTATCAGAAAATCATAAAGTTAAAATTTTTGACAAATGTTTCTCTCCTGATTTCTCTTTAACATATCACAGGCGAAAAAACATAAGCCTTTCTTTTTACAATCATTCGCATCTGTCATGTTGATTTACGATAAACTGGAATGATTACAAATGTAGTAGATATCATTCATATATATTTCTCTGATTTATAATCTTGATTAGCAAATATTTTTCTATATGAATGTTGTTCGTCAAAGAATTTCAATGAAATGAAAGCAAAGTAAGATACGCATCGTTTATAAAGATTGATAAAGATCTTTAATGTTTTGCTATGATGCGAAATAGACATAGATTTTTAGATGAAATTCAAAATTAGTGACAAACAAAAAAAGAAAATGTCTTGTAATTTGTAGCTTGCTTTGCTTTACAGACGCGCATCTCTATGTCCTTGTTCGACTAACGTCGTTGTCTTCATTTATCCCCTCTACGTCTTATCGGTAGGATTTGTAGATATGGAAGTAATTGGAAAGAGAAGATAGATAGAAAGAATAAAGACGAGCGATATTCTAGTTTTTTTATCTTGACATATCTTCTCTTTTTTTTCACTGCTTCAACTAGATCCTACTGTTAATATAATTATTGTTTTCTTGTTGACAAAATGTCTCGTAGAAGTCTCAAGCTCATGGATGATCAAGAATAAATCGAGAGAAGAAATGTGAATATGATAGCTTGATTAACCTTTTCTTTAGACTATCTTTTTTGTTTCTCATCATCAGCATCAATAAAGAAAACTGAGTGACAAGCAACGTCTATAGTTGTCTGTTGCTTTTCTTCTGCTTCTTCTTCTTCTTCTTTTTGCGAGCATAGTTCCATGCATGCAACAGGCAAAACAGTGGTTGTATTGGTGTTGCTCGGGGGAGCACAATCCTCACACGTGTTTTTCGACAGTTTCATCTATCGATAGTAGCTATTTCAAACAACAGCAACTGCTCATGTTGTGAGTAATCGATTTAAAACTGTAGCTATGATTTATGGCGAAAATCTTGGAAATAAAAAACAATGAGAAATTTATTTATCTTTGTTCTAATCTAGGGCATTTTCGCGTCCATTAGAAGAAGAACTAACTGTCGAAGAGCAACTTGAAGCATCGAAACATCCTGATTTTGAATCATGCGAACGCGTTGTTATAAATGTGTCTGGTTTAAAATTTGAAACTCAATTGCAAACATTAAATAATTTTCCTCGTACACTACTTGGAAATCCATCGCGACGTATTCGTTTTTTTGATCCGTTACGTAACGAATATTTTTTCGATAGAAATCGACCGAGTTTTGATGCTATTCTTTACTATTATCAATCAAACGGCCGACTAAGACGACCAAATCATGTACCAATAGGTGAAAAAATAATCATTTGCTTTTTTTCAAAACAAAATTTCCACTTCCATATTTCTTGTTTCGTTTTGTAGATGTATTTACAGAAGAGATCAAATTTTTCGAATTAGGCGAAGATGCATTTAATAAATTTCGTGAAGATGAAGGTTTTATTAAAGAAGAAGAACGCATACTACCTAAACCTGAAGTTCAACGAAAAGTTTGGCTCCTATTTGAATATCCTGAAACTTCTCAATGGGCACGTGTTATCGCTATTATATCTGTTTCTGTTATTCTTATGTCAATTGTCATATTTTGTCTTGGTAAGTGACAGATTACATAGTAATCACTGAAATCAATATTTATAATGATTACATCTATACTACTAATTTTCAACAACAGGAAAAATATAAATCAGTTCATTATGAGACATTTCAATCATATCCGTGACGTCTGACAAGGTCAATAAATCAATTTGCCATTTCGAAGTTGACTCTCGGATAAAGATGTACACTCGAATCGACAGGCTCAGTTAACTACAAAGTCAATTCTCTCATAGGATATAGTTGTAACAACTGATGGCATAGATGAAAAGAAACCCGTACTGTTTTGCTTGAGATAGAAATTCATGGTTATTGCATTTCATACTGTAGAAGTTCGTCGGATGAAAAACAAAAACGTTTTTATTTCCTTCTCACCCTGTTGTTTGTCTTCTTCAGTTCGTGCGAGTAAAATCTTCACTCAATTTCATTCACGTTCATTTTTAGAAACTCTTCCTAAATTTAAACGCTATCGTGTACGACCAGCCGACAATACATCTTATGATTCATCTCGTTTAACTATTGAAGAAGATGATATACCTGAATTGACTGAACCATTTTTTATTATTGAAACATGTTGTATTGTTTGGTTTTCATTTGAACTTCTCGTTCGTCTATTTTCATCGCCAATGAAACTTGTCTTTCTTAAATCAATGATGAACATTATTGATATAGTTGCTATTGTACCTTATTTTATCACGTTATTTACGATATTAGCTGAAGAAAAAACGAAATCCAATCAAGCTATGTCGTTAGCTATACTACGAGTTATACGTCTTGTGCGTGTTTTCCGTATATTTAAATTATCGAGACATTCGAAAGGTCTACAAATATTGGGTCAAACATTACGTGCGAGTATGCAAGAATTAGCTCTATTAATATTTTTTCTATTCATCGGTGTTATACTATTTTCGTCGGCGGTTTATTTTGCTGAGCAAGGTGAACCGGAATCATTTTTCAAATCCATACCGGATGCATTTTGGTGGGCTATGATCACGATGACTACAGTAATATTATCAAAATAAAAATTGATCATTTATTCATTTTTTTCTTTGTTTTCATTTATTTAGGTTGGCTACGGAGATATGCGCCCAGTAGGTATATTTGGCAAAATTGTTGGGTCAATGTGTGCTATTGCCGGTGTACTTACTATTGCTTTACCTGTGCCTGTTATCGTGTCAAATTTTAATTATTTCTATCATCGAGATATTGATTCCGAAGAGCAGAAAGACATAAAATATTCTGCGCCAGAAAATTTGACTTCGCCGACTGGTGATATTAATGCTGATCAATATGCTTTAGCAATATCAGCAAGGGGTAGTAATGATGACATTAATAAAAACAAATCTGTTTCATCAGCTGATGCATATCATCATTTAGATGAATCCGATTCATTTCTTCATTCGTTCTCTATTGCTGATGATAATACACTTCGGTCGCCAACTGCAAACCATAAAGTACAAAAAACCTCACCAACACAACAACTAATACAAAGAAAGCTTCCATCTTCAAATAATAATAGTTTACATCCATCGAATGAACCGCTTAATGTTGAAACTGATGTTTAGTCGAATCTCATTGATTCATATCCGTCCGCCCGGTTTCTTTTGTCTAGTCATCCCTACTATCTCCTTATATATATATATATCTGTATGCGTACTCTATTGCCTGCGCTTAATATTCGGATTGTTAATTGTAAAAGCGAAAAAATGTTAAATTGATGTGCTCAGATAGAGAAAATAATTATGAATATCTATGTTAATAACTGATTTAAATTTATAGAGAACAAAAAAAAGAAAAGAAACGATGAGATTTGTTTTGTTTGTTTGTTTGTGTTTTAAAACGAAGCCTTAAATGATAGAAGAACAAAATTGTTTTTGCCCAGTGTTTTCTTTTTGTAATTTGATTTTTTTTTGTGTCAGAGATCTTTATGATTATTATTATTATTTTCTCATGTATATTTGTGGACGTATTTTATGCGTTTGTTCTTCGATAAAAATTTAAATTATTAAAATCAAAAAAAATTAAAACATCTACTCTTTATTTGGTAATTATCTATTTCGTCTTTTGAACTACTCTATAAATTTACTACGTGGTATCAATCGTGTTCCCATGAAGTCGGTAAGTTTCGCGAATTTATTAATAGCAATGCCAAGAACTTGATATTTCCTAAATCCTAACGGTATGTGCGATTTGTTGATTGTATATAAACAATCGTCGTTGGATTAAAAAGAATTCACATGAGAATAGTTTAGAAACATTGTAACTTGCTGTATGCGGCCTACTTATGAATCGATATAAAGTTCACGGCCTTTTCTCCTCTCTATCTCTGTAGCTAAATAGACACAAAAATATCGAACGAGAATCAAAACAGAATTTTTTACAGAAGAATTTTTTATTTCGAATGCATGAGACATAAAAATAGCTTCAGATTAGAGAGTACAATTAAATTGTAGTACGTCGATACAATATAAGCTGATATCAATTCAAGAGGTTTAGTTATTAAAAAAATATTGTCTCCCAGGACAATAATTCTATGATATATGATGACCATGACGGATTAGTTTTAGCATGCTAAGAGATGGTTTTTGATTAATAGATGTCCTGTCAAAATGTCTTGAAAGATAAAGTATCTTTAAATCAGCTGTCGTACGCATATATAGTATGCGTTGAAGGAAATATTAGCGAACTCATTTTGAACTAATTATTCAAACTTTATACTGACATTAAAGACAATTATGCTGTCCGCAAAACTTGTCAAGGTTTTATCTCTTGGCTTACGTCATAAAGTAGAAAATACTTCAGTTCATTTTCTGTTCTTCTAAAATACGCGTGAAATTTTCATCAGCCTAAGTTATTATTTCATATTCATATAAAACAGAATGGCTCTAGACTAATTATATTATGTAGATGAACATTTTCTATTTTATTATTCTACCAGAAAGTGACAAGAGAAAAAAACAGCCACATTTTATTTTCAATCATTTGCTTCTCATCAATGCTCGCAGTGCACCTATTATTAGTAATTATTTTTCTTGCGAATCATTCCGAACCATTTGAGGATTCAGCTTATCAAATTCAACCTCAATCCGTATGTATTAATAATTTCGATGAACTTTATATAACAAGTGATGATCATTTTATTGGACAAGTTCTATATCGTTATGATCAATTACAATTAGCATGTGATTGTCAAACACTAGTCAATCATGTTGCATACAAAATATATTGGACAATTAATAATAAAAGTTACAATGAATATAATGATTCAAATAGCATTCAATTAATAGTTGACATCAATACAATACGAGCACCAATGACCTTTGTTGCATGTCATTGTATATTTATCGAATCGAATGGAACGAAAACAGAACGAGATTATGAATATAAACTTCTTATTGGTGAATAAGTTTTTATCTTGAAATTTAATAATTTGTTTGTTTATTTGATAATTTTTAGATTTGGAAAGTGAACCATCATTAAAGCCAATTGCTTACACCGTAGAATTGAGTATGGTAAAACAAAAATTTCAAGATTTTATTCATCTTCATTTCGCAGTCACATTTAGTTTTATATTTGTTTTAATTGCTACAATGTGTCCACTTATGATATTAAATTCTACACGTTTTGTTAAATATCTTACATCAGATTAACTATTCTATTATTTTGAAATTATTCATGCCGATAAAAAAAATAAAATTTTAGATAAAATCAAAGTCATTGACTGTTTGTTAACGATAGTGTTACCGTTCAACAGATAATCTATTTTTGATAGTCTTTCCATTACTTTAGAATAGGAGATAGAGAACATCCCATTATTTTGCTGGTTGACTGTGATTGAATTTATATTGTTTGCAACTTTTGAAAAGCTCTAACGTAAATGGTAAAGCCATAGTCCTTACTCACCATTTTCTTGGCAATCAAAGCATGCAAAATCAGGATTTAGGCCAGTCAATCATCTTGTCCGTAATGTAGCTACCGAGTTATGTCAAATTCTGTCGTTGACACATTATTGATATTGATCAAAAGAAATTTCTGATGCAAGATCAAAAAAAGTCAATCACTACCTGTCAAGCAAAAGAAACTCGAACTGTTCAGTTACGCCATCAGAGACAAGTCACTGTCAGGCGAATTTTAGGAATCGTTATAATTAAAACATACACGCCGTTAATACAACAACAAAATGATTTTTAAAATGCTATATGATTCTCTGCTGTATTGTGAATCCAACAGATGTCGCTCACGATGCGCATGAACAATATCCATATAATGATGAAAATTTTTTTCTAAAGTAAAATGTTAAATAAAAATTTTAATAAATTTCTTCAAGAAAAATCTTCTCATTAAAAACTCCTTTTACTTTACGGCCACAAATACTCTTTTTAAATTCGATTGGTTATTCGAAAACTCTAATTTCTTCATTGATTCGTCTTGTTTATTTTGTCATATTGAAAAGATTTAAGAAAAAAAGAAAAACACCAGGGACTACGATAATCTTGTTTTAATTTTTAGATCTTTATCGATTTCACGTGAATACAATTACACAACTATTCACCTTGAACTACTACAAACATGGCAACCAAAGATCCAACTAGCGGTAAAATTCCAGCTCAAGCAGGTGCTGGCGAACAACAAGAATACAAAATTCGTATTACATTAACATCTCGAAATGTTAAATCACTCGAAAAAGTGTGCGCTGATTTAATACAAAAGGCAAAAGACGAAGAAATTCGTGTTAAAGGACCCGTCCGTATGCCAACTAAAGTTTTACGTATAACAACACGTAAAACACCCTGTGGTGAAGGTTCAAAAACATGGGATCGTTTTCAAATGCGTATCCACAAACGTGTTGTCGATTTACATTCGAAATCGGAAATTGTCAAACAAATAACATCCATAAGTATCGAACCAGGTGTAGATGTTGAAGTCACCGTTGCCGATTCCTAAATACGAAAAAACAAGAGACAAACAAACAATTTATTTCAACAATGAAGAAATGGCATTAGGAGTGTAACATCAAAATATTTTATTTGTCTTTTCTTTTCATTGTTGATTTTGTTTTGTTCATATCAAATAAAAAACAATACCAACAGTAACAAGATAATTAAAAACAACACGCTTTTTTTTTTCTTCTAAATATTGTCAATCATTCTAGACGTTTCAAAGAAAAAGAAAAGAATAAGTAAAATAATATGAAACACTTACTACCAATTTTAAAACGAGCTTCATTAGGCCGATTACAATATTATCGTTCTTTATCATCTGCAGTAAATAATTATAATCAATTAACAACTACATGTGATCCACAATCAGATATATATAAGGTATTTTATTGTGAAATATATATATATATATATACATTGGATCTTATAATATATCCATTGATAGGCATAATGACTTTTTTTACAGTGAAAGTATGCATAATCTATCTGTTTAACTTTCGTGCACTAGGAGAAATTATCTAGATGTAGCGACATGTTTTCATTTGGGAAATTGAGTTAAGAAATGTTCCTTTTGTAACACTAGAAACATATCCTTACCTTGGACATTGATTTTGTACTTCTCTTTTGTTATATTTTCAATACCTGTTCGAACTGTATTAATTGATTGCGAGGATTTAGTAGTTATCTAATAATATTCATTTAATCTATTGGAAATCAATAAGTCAAAGATGCTTAACGTCAGCATTATCTATAAATATACATAACAAAATCATTGTTCGAAAATTATTCTCTCGAGTCATTCAACAAATGACTGATCTGAAAGAGATTTCGGCACACGACGCAATACAAATTCTTGATTGATATTGAACATGAGAACTAATAATGTTATTCATGATCAAAGGCAAATTTTTGAGAGCGTGGGTGAGCATTCTTCCTTGCGAAATGAATCTTCTCCTTTTATGAGCGCCTCTGTGATCTGTTCATGCAACAAATAGATCTCATTTTCGAAGGCGAAAAGTCATTTTTTATGAAGATATTCAAATCGAAATGCATTGCTCAACAAAAAGTAGCATGCGAACTTGATTTATTTCATTTGAAAAAGTTAAAAATTGTCTTCTATATAGTTTTATTTTCATGCATGAGAGAAGCGACTTCACTGGATAATAAAAAGATTCTTATTGTAGAATTATTCATTTGAATGGCTAGTTATACTTTCAGTCGACCTTCTAAAATGTTTGTTTCTCCTTGCATGTTAAATACATCTACTTTTAGTATTAAGCCCCCCCCCC